GATTGAACGTTTCACCCTTGTCAGCATGTAGACGAAACACTGGAAGGCCTCGCGATTGCAAGTACAGCACGATGTCCTGGATCACTCCCTTCACAGTTGAGGAGCCATTGTTGGTTAACGCGCGGGCAAACAAAAGGTGGGTTATCTCCGGGCACTCGCAATCTGGGAAGGCTCTGTGCTCGTTGTCCTTGACCTGGTCCTCCTCGGTTAGATGCACTTGCTCCTCCTGATCCTCTCCACCACCTTCATCGCCAGGACCAATCTCAGAAGGCTCGTACATCACATCCTCATAGTCCCGGAATTCTTCCCGCTGCTTGGTTGTTCCTCCAGCAAACCCACTGTCGCCCCGCTCCACCTCACAAGCATCCTCCTCCTGGGACTGAGCTTCGTCCACGTCCGATTCATAGTCCATGCTCTCACCAACCTCGAAGGGATCCTCCTCCTCAGCAAGCATTGGCATATGCGGCTCTTCCCCCTCTAGGCCTTGTGGTGGTTCATCCTCTCGACCATCATCACCTGGAGGTTGACGCCCCGTATAGCCCTTTACATACTCCTTGGGAAGAACGTACTTAGCCACCAGCATGTATCGCAGGTTCTTCCCCATGGTTCCCTTTGAGGTAACATCCAAGCCTGGCTTCACTGGGCCCGCCAAATCGATTGTCAGGACGAATGTGCTCGGATGTCTAGCTCGGGCATGACGACGTCCAGTCCCTCTAGCCATCACACACGTAAGGCAGTCCCTCCGATAGTCTGCGTGCCCAGAACGAACGTGCCGCTGCCATTCACCAGGAGAAATTGCCACCCTTGCCGGGCAACACAAAGGCTGCTGGTCCCAAAGCCTCATTGCCATGACCATGCTATCCACTAGTCCCGGCGACCATTCTGGATCGACCTTGACGTGGGGGATTTCCTCCTGAGGGTCTAGGTCTTCATACCCTAGTCCATCCAATCCCATGAGGTAATAGACGTTCGTTCCCAAGATCGTGTGCAACGGCCTCGGTGCTCCCATGTTCTTCTGATCGAACTTCACCTGGATCATGTCCATCTCCTCCTGGAATTCCTCCCACAGGTCAGTGGACCACAACGAACCGCTACCCCGTGATGCTGGGTGCTCGAGGGCAAAGGCGACCGGACGCTCCTTGTTTCTGGCCATCGGAGTTGCCACCCTTGCTTCCTTGGCTATGACATACAGCCACATCATCCGAGTGATCACCTTCAGAGCCTTCTGGGCTTGATCATCACCATCATCATCAAACCTTGCAGATCGCCCAGGTGGTCCTCCGAGAACCGCATCGATTCGACCATTCAATGCCCCCCACATCAGCAATCGCCAAGTTGGACTCCTCAGGATACTGTGTCCCTGGCAGCGAGCGATGTCCAACTCCAACACTGCCGTGTTGCCTTGATCCAGCTGGAACATCTTATAGTGTCCCGGATCACCTGCAAACAGATGGATCACCCACTTCTTTGATCCCCACAGATATCTCTTCTGAGGACGAGTGAGGAAGTCAACTCCCTTGAAGACCTCCCATCCGGCACCCTTGACCTCGTCCTGGACCAGATCACGAAGGCACCCCTCCGACACATTCTTCAAGAACGGGGCATCCCTGAGGCTTCTCAAACCCGCATCCAAGGACCCAGTGGCGACATACTCCCTAATGTAGTCCTTCCACCCTTTATCCAACTGGAGCGCTGCCATCGCTACGAGGTCCTGGGTCTCGGCAATCTCATTCTCGAGCACCTCCCTTCTTTTATCCTCGATCTTTGCGATGAGCGAAAGTGCTTCTGCTTCACATAGCTGAGGGCATCCACCAGAGACGCTCAGCGGAATGCGGTTGTCGCTCTTGTCGTACAGGTAGCACTCGGTAGGGGACCATCGTAGGGTGTATCCAAGTGTTCCAACGAGCTCACCCATGGGCACGATTGTCTGTCCTCCATCTCCACCTGTGCCCGTCTCTGACATTCCCTTCCTCGGAGGCATAAGCAACGTGCCATTGTCGCTCATTCTCATCACCAAATTGTGGTTGCCCGCCAATTGGACCATGACCTTCTCAGCCTCACTCCATTCCTTGTATGAACGAGCTGATCTCAGGCAATGGGTGGCTCCACTATCCAACAAAGCTGTTGAGGAAGACTTCATGGCACAGACCTGTATCCCCCTAACCACCAGAGTTCGCACCGCTGGACCCGTCTTCTCAGGTGATTCCCCTCGATCTCCCGGAGCCTGGGCCTGCATTACTTGTTGCGCAGCTTGAACCAAGGTTTCAAGGGTCCATGGGGTTCCCTGTACCACCGACCCATCAGTCGCCCCAGTCGTGGAGGTTGTGGACAACGACGCCACCCCAGGAGTAGTGGACAAACTCTTCGCCCCTCCACCACTTGCCTCAGAGCCGGTCGGTCCATGAGGAGGCCGTGGTCCACTCTTCCCAACTCCACAGTCCTTCTGTCTGTGGGACTCAGATCCACAGCTCAAACACTTCTTTTTTCGTACTTCACGATCAAGGTGAGCCATGTTGTGACTGAAGTTGCAGCGGGATCCTCTCCGACACCCAGAAGGCTTCATGAAGTAGCGACACATGTCTGTTTTGCCACCCTTCTCCTTGTCCTTCTCAGGCGACTTGCCGGTGGGTGCAGTCCTTGGCTCACCTCGGTCCAGTGCTTGTAGTCTAGGATGTAGCCCCTCAGCTGTTGTTGATCCTGAAGGACAGCTCGCCACCACATTCTCCAACTCTGCTTGCAAATGCTTCTGGTATGCCCTCACCTGCTCTTCACCAGGTTGCCCATCAAGACGAAGAGTCGTACGAAGCATAGCCGTCCTGAAGGCCGAGTCCGGGTTGGAGTCGATGTACTTGGCAGTGAGAAGCTTCAGACCACGAGCTAAAACAGAAGGGTCCGGGGCTGCCATCCCGAGTGTCTCACATCTTGCCATCCACCTTGGCCAGCTCCGAATCACACGAAGAACTTCCTGTATGGTGTCCTTGTCCACGTAGTCCATGGGACTCTGGAGGCGCTTGAGGACATCCTGTCTTTCCAGGCTTCCCCCAGGTTGGTAGGTAGTGTAGAGCCGGAAGAGCATATCCACTGAGCTGGTGGATATTCGATTGGCAATCATGTCCATCTTCTGTTCCTCAGACATGGCTGCCAGGAGCATTGCCGTCACCCTTGCATTCAATCTGGTCCACTTCCCGGTCGCTAGCTCTTCCCCTCCACGAGGCTGAACCGTCAATCTCTCCAAGGGTGTAGACGACAACCATGCCTTGTAAGCCCTGTCCACAACTCCCAGCACTGCCTTCCACCACGTTCCACTCTGCTCGCTGATGTCGTACATCACCGCAGCCGTGACCTCCACCCAATCCTGAAACTGTAGCGCCACTTCAGCACCACTCTTGACTGTTGGCAGTGGACTCAGGGTTGACGTGCCTGGCTTGATCACCTCCGCTCCATTTCCAGACGACTTCTGAAGGGCTTGGGCCTGAAGTTCCTGCAGTTGAGCAATTCCCTTCGTGAGGGCCTCGATTGCAGGAGAGTCTCTGGGATGATCAGGTCGTGGCGGGGGAGATTCGCTCCGAGGCCTTGTCAACCAAGAGCGAAGAAAACCCCTAGACTCCTCCTGCTCCATGGTCCTTGGTGGTGGCATAGGAGGCGGTGCTGGCATGGTTGAGGTAGGTCTACTCCGAGTGGATTGGTGATCACCTTGAGGCTCCACACTAGGCCCTTGAGGCTCGGACCCGTGCTCACACTTCCCGTTACCCCAAAGATCAGCAGGTCCCAGATGAGCTGAAGCAAGATCACTCAGCAGTCCTCCAGGGCGCTCAGGTACTTCTGGTCGCGGTGGTAGATCTCCTCGAGGTGGTCCACTAAGAGGCAACTCCTGTTGAGTCGCTGCAGTTGCCTTGGCCCGCTTCACATGACGACGGTTCTCCCTCTCCTCCTCAAGCTGCTGACGAAGCGCCATGTTTTGCTCCTCCGCCACCTGCAATCTAGAGAGAATCCCTCCAAGCTGTCGCTGGACCTCGGCCTGAACCGCCTCGCTGGGAAAATCCGAGGAGCTTGGCGGTGTAGGTGGCCTCACACTCATTGGTCTCCCTGGCGACCTCAACATGAACGTTGGACCACCCGGTGTAGATGTTCCGGTACTCCCTGCCATAGGGCTTGGAACCATATCGCCATGCCCCACACTTAAATAGCTGCCCAGCCTGGCAACCCATCTCGGCATCTCTAGTCCTCCCAACCAGTTCTGCCCTGCCGGAAGAGAAAACGAATGCCCATTCCGTGACCTCGGAGTCACGGATCCCATCTGGAGATAATCTGCACTGCCTCGCCCAGATGTCTCGCCATAGTCCTGCCATCCGTCCAGACCAGTCGTCGTCGGAGCACTTAGTTGCTCCCCCTGCAACTCGCCAGATTCGGTGGGCTCCACCAACAGCGCACCTCGCGAAGCTATAGACTCCCCATGAGCTGCCCCTGATCCAGGAGCCATCACCTCCCCAAGCAGCTCACCTCTGTAGCCTGCAACTACTCCAGATCCACCAGCCGAGCCCCTTGTTGTGGGCTCATTCGAGGGTCCAGGTTGGTTCTGGACACCATTCACCACCTGCGCAGCAGTCTCAGCTTGGGCGGTCATAACCTGTTGATGCCCTTGAGTGGCATCGGATGCAGCGGAATCCATGGCTGCATGTAACGAACAGCGGAGCTTCAGTTCCCTTTTTTCAACAAACAAGCTGTTCATGCGAAAGATTTGTGATTCTACGAAAGTCTGCTGACTGTGCATGTACATAAAGGTCGGTGTCAGCTGTTGCCTTTCGTGTGAAGAACTTCTGCTTAAAGTCCTGACTCTGGTGACCCAAGGGTTTACAAACCGCAGCCTTCCCTTGGGCCCAAAAGCGCCGCCGGTTGTGAGGCTCGACGACGATCGCCTGGAAGGGGCTTTTACAGGTTTAAGGTCCCTTCTTGTGGGCTTCTAAAGTCTGAGAGAAGAAGTCTGCCAAGCTACTCTCTGCATGCCAAACATCCCCGCAGGTACGAAGTCACCTTCGCGGGGATCCTGGGCCGTTGATAATAACTCGTTGCTGCGTTGCTGAGATGCGAACCTGAAATCCTTATGATTGCCACTTGTTATGCAGCTCGAGGAACTGGCCCACGAACGCACGTCCTGTGTTGGAGCGAGTCAGCCACGCCTTCGTGATTTTCTACCTGCTGTACATCACAATTATAGTTTTCGCAGTAATCCGTGTGATATCTGCCATATTCTTGAAGGACACGTTAGACGAGGCGAACAATGATGCTGCCCATCTTGTTTTGGATCGCCTCCGTAAAAAGGCTGAGTACATTGAACGCTTGGAGGGCGTATTCAAGACGCTTGATGTCACTGGACGCGGAACACTCTCCGAGACGGTTCTGAACCATATGCTGGCCAATCCGAAGGTGAAAGCTTACTTCCAGACTCTCGAGGTTGATGTGCAGGAAGGCGCTGCGCTCTTCCACCTCTTAGTAGCTTTGTTGAGCTTCAGCACAGCTTTCAAGCTCTATAGCGGGATAAGGCTTCTGCGGTTTAAGGGCAATCGCCTGGAAGCTTTTCACGAGGTATTGGGGAGCAGCCAAGGACGATGGAGATGGAGAAGCCTTTCCCCCATCAAGAGGGCAGCTTTTGTTTTGATTACAGTTAATCTTAAGCAGTGAACTCCAGTAAATGGCTTTAGCTTTTCGCGGCTTGTTGGACAAGAAGGTTACATTGGATGAGTTCATTGCTCCTCGCCATATTCTATGCTGGGCCTGCTCAGCTGTTGGCGGAGTAATGTTTTCAAGTGTTTTCGTCGATCCTGAGTTTGCGGGGGCACGAGCTTCAGCTTTGTTGTGTGCGCGCCGGGTTCACGCAGCCAAGGATGGCATCATGCGCTGCAAAGGCCCCGCCCGTGCCATTGATACAGTGGCGCTCAAAGCTGACGTCAAACAGCTGGACAACAAGGTGCGCGCAGTAGACCAACTCTATTGGTTCGTTTAAGTGTTTAACAGATTTCGTTTTTATTTACAGGCAGGATCCAGCTGGACCGCGTAGCTCGAGCACAGGCACAAAGCTTTGCTTTGAAGACGAAGATGAGCCAACCACCAATCATCACGCCCATGGCTGGCTTATGTGCTACATTTGTTTCCCCATGCCTCTGTTCCATCAGCATGTCCGGGCTTGAGGGAAGCAGCAACTCTGTCAAACTCCAATGTTGAAATAAAATATACAAGATGCGCACGGAAATGCGAAACAAAACGACCCCTAAACCCTAATTAAACCCTAAACCTACAAAAGACCCTAAACTTCTGGAGGGCGGTGCGCTGTGGGGCCTGTGTTTTTTTTTAGTGTTTTTGCAGGGCACAAGTGTTTATAAAGCGGGTGTGCATGCGCATGACACTCTTTATCCCGGATACTCTATATTTACAAGCACGCGCGCATACACAGGATAATCATTTAAAGCCTTTAACTTCCTTTAAAACCGTTAAGATTTAATTGGAGAGGCCCTCAATTAAATTTTAAAGGGGAGGGGCCCCCCTTTAAAATCTTTAAAATCTCCATTTAAATTTAAAAGGATTTAACGGTTTTAAAGCCTTTAAATTCCTTTAAAACCTGTAAAATTTATTTGGGGAGGCCCCCAATTTAATTTTAAATGGGACGGGCCCCCTTTAAAATCTTTAAAATCTTTAAAATTTAATTGGACCCCCATTTAAATTTTAAAGGTTTTAAAGGAATTTAAAGGCTTTCAAAACCTTTAAAACCTTGAAAATTTAAATGGAGGTCCAAATAAATTTTAAAGGTTTTAAAGATTTTAAAGGGGGCCCACCCTCTTTAAAATTTAATTGAGGGCCTCCCCAAGTAAATTTTATAAAGGAATTTAAAGGCTTTAAAACCTTTAAAACCATTTAAATTTACATGGAGGTCCAATTAAATTCAAGGATTTTAAAGATTTTGAAGGGCGGGCCCGCCCCTTTAAAATTTAATTGAGGGCCTCCCCAAGTAAATTTTAAAGGTTTTAAAGGAATTTAAAGGCTTTAAAACCTTTACAACCATGTAAATTTAAATGGAGGTCCAATTAAATTTTAAAGATTTTGAAGATTTTAATGATTTTAAAGATTTTAAAGGGGGCCCGCGCCCTTTAAAATTTAATTGGACTTCCATTTAAATTTTAAAGGTTTGAAAGGAATTTAAAGGCTTTAAAACCTTGAAACCTTCAAAATTTCAATGGAGTTCCAATTAAATTTTAAAGATTTTATATCCAGGCACCTGGGCGAGGAGGGAGGGGGGGGGTGGGGGGGGGGGCGGGGGGGTGGGGTCAACACCCTCCCAAGCCCCCCCCCCCCCCCCCCTCCCCCCCCCCCCTCCCCCCCCCCCTCCCCCCCCCCCCTCCCCCCCCCCCCCTCCCCCCCCCCCCCCCACCCCTAAAAATGACCATAAGAAATCAGTTAACCTTACCTAACCAGTAACGTGTGACAGTCAACCACGCCCATCTAACCTTAGTATAGTTCAACTACTTAACTTCGCCCATCCCAACCTCAAACAACGGAATCTTCAACGAAGAGCCCCCCCCCCTCCCCCCCCACCCCCAAAGAATCAATGCTTTTAAGCAAGCCAACTGCTTATAAGCAAACCCTTCCTCTACACAAAAAAACTCTATAAAAATGAACTATAAGAAATCAAGTTAACCTTACCTAACCAGTAACGTATGACAGTCAACCACGCCCATCTAACCTTAGTATAGTTCAACTACTTAACTTCGCCCATCCAACCTCAAACAACGGAATCTTCAACGAAGAGCGTTTCAAAAACGCAGGCCCCACAGCGCACCCTTCTGAACCCTTAACCCTTAAACCCCAAACCGCCCCATCCTCAGCTCCATTCCAACAAAAAAAGCCCAAGGTGTCCAAGCTCATCAAGCAGCTGAAGGAGGCCCGACTCATTCGCTCCAAGTCCACCGCCGCGGACGGCAGCAAGCACCGCAACGCCAGCCTGAAGCTCTTCCGCGGCATCGACCCCTCCGAGGCAGGACGACGTTTGCCTTTTGCGTGGCCTGCCTTCCCAAAAGGCGGTGCAAATGGTTCGCTTACGAACGGGGATATATATATATATATATATATATACATATACAGAGAGAGAAAGCAAGAAAAATAAGGAAAGAAAGAAATGAAAAAATAAAGAAAGAAAGAGACAAATAAAGAAAAGAAAGAAAGAAAGGAACAAAGAAAGAAAGAATCAACAAAGAAGCAAATAAAGAAAGACAAATAATGCATTAAGTACATCAATCAAAGAAATTTCAGAAAGAACCGAAAAAAGAAAGAGACAACGCAAGAGGAAGTCGTATCAAGTATGCGGCTTTTCCCATCCGCTCGAAAGCAAAAGCAGCAGGAAAATCTTGAAGCACCTTAGGCCCGAAATCTATGTAAATCCCAAGCGTCCCAGAGGTCAAACTTGCTGCGTCCATCAGCAATTCGTGATGAGGCCGCGGCTTCTTTGCTCTGCGATGTTTAGGGTATTCGGGGGTTTCGACCAAGAGGCATGCTACCTGCCAACTTTTGTCAAGGTTAGCTGCTAGACCAGGCATGCTGGCTACAGGGTAATTGTTGCCACAAGACTTTCACTCCTGCAGATTTGTTTCACCCCTGCATGCAATTCCATGCAGCTTCAGTGACAGTAGCGGAGCAAGCTGTCCAGAGTGAAATGCATTATGTGGTGTAACAATGTGTAACATTACATCATGTGCGCAGATTCTGCGGGCCGATGAATGTCGACGAACTAGCTGAAGTTTCTGTAAGCTTCGAAAGCCACAAAGTGGCCAACGATTTTTTTTCTCGAAGTCCCTTTCTGACAGCATCCGACGCATCATGCAGCGGGGACCGACCACAGATTCTCAGCTTGAAAAAACACGAGTCTCCCAACCTTACCATGCCGAGAGCCTCACCTCTGGAGCCACTGAGCCACCGGAGCCCGCCGCCTCTTGGTTTAGGGTTCAGGGTTTAGGGTTTAAGGGTTAGCTTAAAGTTGTATGTTGTATTTGTGTTTACTACCGTGAGCAGGGGCAGATTGAGAACTCGCTCTTGGGAGTGCTTCTGGCACAGATCCGGAGCTCAGGTAGTCAAAGCCGGGCGAAGTGGCAAGCCTGTTGCAAAAAGGGTTTGCTTAAAAAGGGTTCAGGTTTGCCGAAGGCCTCTCCGTCCTGACTTCAGGTGTCTGGGTTCAAGAAGGGTGGAAGCACTGCCAGTTGAGTCAACCTGAGTCAACATGTTGCCAGCGGCACCATGAAAAGCTCAGCGCGAGCATGTGGCAAGCCACAAAAGATATCGGGTAGCTTTTCGGGCCATGGGAACCAAACATGTAGGGTGCTGGACAGTCTCAAATGCAGATTTACACAATCTCACAGAACAGCGCATTTATTGCTGGCCGCCGGCCGGCAGGAGCTTGCCAGGGCCATGGCGGCTCTGGACCAAGCAACGGAGGACGTAGCAGCCAACTAGCAGCTGAATGATTGTAGCAATAACATTGCCTCCTGTATGAAAGGCTCACGTCACAAGTCCGTGGCTAAATGTCGTGAAAGTTGCAGGAAGCAAGTCTCAGTATGACCTCCTGCATAAAGTAGAAGGCAGAACTCTTGAGGTAACGAGAGCATTCACACCTGGACAGGCGGATGCAACAACAAGCCTCTTAGCAACCACGTGCTGCCTACTCGGTATGCACTGAACAGGCTGCCTAGACTTTGGGAGGGTTCGGAGTGCCTTGGACTGTTGGTTGTGTATAGCCACCCTTTGAATCTAGACCAGCTTCAGACGCCACCAGCCACACCTTGAGTAAAGAGGAGCTGATCGAAGCCCTTGGGAAGCAGCAGCGCCAGTTGCAGACGCTTGCGTTTGCTTGATTGCGAGCTGCTCCAGGATGGTTGGGTGTTGTTGGGTGTTGTTGGGTGTTTTTGGGTATTGTTGGGTATTTTCTTCAGGCCTGTAGGCTCCAGCTTACGTCTCGGGGCAGAGCTGGCTTTTTCACCTAGTGCCCCTGAGAGTGTTTAGTGTTGTACCAGGAGCTTTTGCGGCTTGACTTGCCAAAGACTTCCCAAAGCAGAAAGTGAAAATTGCACGTGTGCCGTGGGGCCAGAAAGCATATCCATTACAAACATAGCAGCTTGAAGACAACCCTCACTCAGAATTCGGGAGCAGCCCACTCGGATGGATCGTCAGAGCCTCTATAGATCGCATGTAAACACTTCAGTTGCGACTTTGACACCTATGCAAGGAAGCCTCCATCTTGTGCTTGGGGCACACTAATTACTCGTTAGTCCTCTGCACAGCCTGCACATTGTGCAATACGTACCTCTTTGTGGGCATTTGCCGTTCTCTTTATGTAGGCTTGGGCGTGACATGTAGCTGAGTGGGAAACCCAGCCCGAAACCTTCGAAGCGTCACCAAACTCAGCAACCCCTTCAGACCTTCAGCTGCTAAGGAAGCTTGCAGACCAGCAGCGCGCTGCCTGGGATGTGGCCCTGCTCAACTCCTTTGCGGCTCTCGATGCTGGGCTGTTTTTCAAGATCTTGCGTACCTTACAGCCGGCTAGAGCAGCCAGTGGCCTTGCACTTAGGTCTGCCGCAAGTGGCTGAAAATGTAGAAGTTTTTGATACTTTCGATAGCTTCCCGCAAAGACCTTTTGTAGTTCCGGGTTTTGCAGTGGAGTAGAGGCATACAAACAGGGAGCACGCTGCCGCTATGGAAATACCAATTGTTTGGTTTGCATGCAAACGTTCCTCCTCCCTCACAACCCCTGTCTTGCAGAAATCCCAAGCACAACCACAGCGCGGCACACATCACCACGCCGTCATAGCTGGGTTCAATCAGTCTTGCGACGGATATGCCCTGGGGTCTAGCACAATGGCAGTCACAACGTTTCTCAGCACTTCAGGAAGAGAGCGTGATCCGTGCCAATCGCGTGAGTCTCAGAGCAGAGTTGTCGATGGTTCTTTCAATAGCGGCACAGTTGCAGGGGAAATGCCTCCTCGACTTCGACTTGACAGAAGCCTTCGGGTATGTAGAGAACAAGTGGCGAAACCCAATGTCGGAAGCCCCAAGCTAGAATTGACCACCTTCAGGCCATCACAACAGAGATGTGGTGTGACTCCTTCTTGATTCTCTTTGCAGAGCCTCTAAACAAGAATGTCATCAACTGTGCCACACGAAATAACAAGAATTACAACACAATATATTAAAGTTGAACTCCCATTTTTTGGAGCATGTGGTATTGCAAAAGGTCATGTATTACACATATATATATATATATGTATAAAGTTGGTTGGAAGCAAATGTATTAGAAGGGTAAAGCTCGCTTTGCATTTGGCCCTGAGGTGAAAGACTGGCCGAGCAGGTCGTCGCGGGAGTCACGATGCCAGAAGTGCCACACTTGCATTAGACCCGTAGAATCATGTAGAACCCCTGAGTTTATTGAGTTCCGACGGATCCTGGCAAAAAAAAGATCTCAGGTTGGAGTTGCAATCGGATCTATCAAAGACTGGACGCGCTGTTAGAATTCACCTGGCGGACCGAACAGGAGGCATCAGGTGGCCCTCAAGGCGTAACTTTCAGAGACTTGTTCAGCGACTCTGTCGGGAGAGTGCCACCATGGGTGAACCCTTACAATGCCTTACAAAGTCATGCTGCCACCACACTAACAAACAAGTCGCAAGCATCAAGCCGAAGCAGGTACGACACAGCGAAGGTCACACATTGTTCCAAGCAAAGCATACCGGATGCGCCACTAGTTTCTCCAAGCATTCGGATTTTGTGCGCATGTTACTAATGTAGGACTGCACAGTACAGGCCCCGGTAAGCTCTGTAGGCTGTGAGGTGTGCTGCATCGTTGTGCATCCAAGGGCGAGTTTCCTCGGGAGTCTTCAGACGCGTCGGACTCCTTGACCCTTGGCTACAGGATGATACAGGAATGAGGGACGGCAGGGATTGAGATTTTGAGAACGTTTCGCCCCGCGTTCATATTGCAGTGCTAAGCGTCTTTGAGTTTGAAGTCTGCAGAATTTATTGCTCAGAATTGCGTGTTCTTGCTGTATACTTTGCATTCCTGACAGCATGTTCTACTTTGCAGGGGTCGTGCTCCTTGCTTCTGGCGCACAGTAAATAAAAGCTTTTCTCGAAGCCAGCAGGTGATGGTTCAGTTCTGCAAAGATGTGCTTTAGCGACGCATCGCTGCGCTGCTCCCAAACAGCCCAAACTGTACCCCCAGACACGATCAGATATTGCTAATTGTAAACGCTTGCGCGCGCCGCCTCGGCAGCCGGGCCGGCCCCAGGACAGGAAAGGAGGAAAGAGGGTTTCGCAAAAAAAGGGAGGAAGGGCAGAGCGGGTGGGGGGGGGGGGGGGGGGGTGGGGGGGGGGGGGGGGTGGGGGGGGGGGGGTGGGGGGGGGGTGGGGGGGGGGTGTGGGGGGGGGGGTGTGGGGGGGGGGGGGGGGGGTGGGGGGGGGGGGGGGGGGGGGGTGGGGGGGGGGGGGTTTTTTGAGGCACTCCCCTGTAGGAGCCACCGACAAGCGGGACCCTCCACGGCATCGGTTTTTGCAGCTCCTCCAAGGGATTGGGGGGGGTCCCACAGGGCGGGGGGGGGGGTGGCGTCAGAAAATTTGGCACGGGGGGAAGGGTTGGGTTAGGATTTAGCGTTCAGGGTTTAGGGTGAACAGGGTGAACAGGGTGAACATGCCCATCAGGAACTCTGACGTGGACTCCGGCGCTTCGCCAAGTGCATCCCCGGGCGAGTCCCAGGCGCAGTGGTATCCCTCGAGCTTTGAACAGCGTCGCATTTGGGTTTTGGGTGCAGAGACGAAAAGTCTGTCTGGTACTTGCCGTGCCAGCAGTCAGAAGATGCCAAGTCTCGCAAGGTTGCCTGAGGTTCTTTCAACTTTGCTGACCACGATACTCACGAAACAGAAATTTCGAACAGTGTTGGCAAGGCCTTTTGGCTTTTGCATCGGATGAGGGTCCGGGGGGAGCCACCGAGATGCCGCATAAATCAACCATCTTGTGTCGAGGAGCCGTGTTGAAATCAGTGCCCACATTGCCACCATCGCCAGGATGACGGCAACGACAAGAGAAAGCGCAAGAAGGATCGCAAAGACACTGATACTTCGAAGGGTAAGCAAAGACGCTGGCCGCCCATGAGGGACACTTTATGTTTGGCTGTTTTGGGGAGTATTGTTAGGGACTGAATCAAGATGAAAGGGCTTGGTTGAATTCTGGCCGACCGCAGCTTTCAGCATGTTCGCAGCCCAGGAAACAATACCATGACCGACTTGCTCAACGGCGCAGAGGTCCAGGCGCCGTCAAGGAACGGGACGGTGGTGATGCGGCAATTCAAACACTACCTGGACCACATAGCTGGGGGCCTCGTCCTCTTGAACTCTATCCTCCTCATGGTTCAGCTGGAACTGGAGGGCAGGCAGTTGGCTTTTGAGCTGGGCCTTCCAGACGGAGAGAACTTTGAGACTTTGATGCCGACGTTCCAAGTCATAGACACGATGTGACTTGACTGCATGTTCTTTGTGCATCGGTTGTCAATTGACATTGAACCACAACACTGTCACAACACGTCATGCCTTAGCTAATTCTAACCAAGATTTGTGTTCGTGTTTTTGGTGGAGCTCCTGATCCGAATATGTCTGGAAAGATGCTACTTCCTCAAGGACTGCAAGCATACAAGCATTGGTGATACGTATACATTGCCGTTAACTGAGGTTTTTGAATTGTCGAATCAGTTTCCGCTTGGACAAGAGGGATTCTGGTTGTGTGTTGTTTTAGCTTCGTTGTGCCCCCTGCCTCCCATGCGAAGGCTCCTTAAGCTACCGAGCTACGAGGCCTAGAAGCCGCCCCCACTGGAGACAGGACATCGCCAACTGGCTCGACTTCATCTTGGTCGCCGGCGGCATGGTCGACCTTGCAATTAGCTTGCAAGCTACGGGAGGAGGTCCCATAGTTGCAAGTCACATTGGGTCCAAACGGGGACATTCCGGAGGCAGAGGGAACCAAGCGAACGAACAAAGCAGGACTTCAAGGCCAACAAAAACACACACAACATTCCGAAGCTGACCCCGAGAAGCACTTGCGTTCTTCAAGTCAGGCAAACTTCTGACAAGGCTGCAAGAACGACATGTGTGTCTAGTATGGAACAGCTGGACCTGCAGGCGGAAGGTTACAGCTTCATGCTGGGAAGGCGAGCAAGATTATGTTTGTTCGAAGGTTTTTGAGGGCACCTTGCCACAACATTGTTCTTGATCCAGTCCTTTTGATGGCGCGTTGCCAAATCATTGCTGTTGCAATGTCTTGCAGGCTGGCTGCAAACCATGAAAACCCCTTCAATTGCTGATTCTAGAGATTGCCGGGGTTCAGTTGCTGGAATCCATTGAAATGGATTGGTTATGTTCGACAGCAGCGTTTCTTTGTCGATTGCTTCTCCAATTGGTTTTGACAGCGCTCCTCATTCACCCCCCATGAAACCACGAGATCCCTGGGAGGTGAGCAGACCGCGCAGGACATGGTTACTCTCCGGTTCGTGTCTGCCCTGAAAGCTTTCCGGGCCATTCGCATGGTTCGAAGCTTCCGATTTTCTCCTGGGCTGCGCATGCTTGTCAAAGCTGCTTGTCTTGAGAGGCTGTTGTGCTTGCCAATTAGTGGCTTCTGGCTTTTCGAAAGCAGCAATGCAATTCTTTGAAAAAGGATGTGATAAAAGGATGCGTTGGAGACAGCTCGGTCTTCAATTTCGGAAGTGCTGGGGGGTGGGGTCTTGACAGCTCGCAGGAGTGGGCTCTATTTTTGGTAGTGGCGTTGTGTCGACCATGTACAGCTCAGGCTTGCCAATGCTGCCTGCCATCCCTGTGTTGGTCAATGCTGCTGCTGGCAGTGTTCATGTGCATGGGTGCCTTGATCTTGGGCAACCTCTTGCAGGATTACATCAGGGATGGAGCCCACAGTGTGGCCGACAGAAAATGGATATGGGAGCGATATGGCACGACCTATCGGGCGACGTATACCCTGTACGAGATCACATTTGCAGGCGGCACACATGCTCGCCCCAAACAAAAAGGGTATAGTAGCAGCTACTAGCAGAACTCAATTCAACAGTCCAATCTAAGCCCCACCTTCCATCTCAGATTGCAAGGATAAATCGAACACACTGAAACGGACGAAGCAGCGCGTACCGCAGGAAACTGGCCTACGAATGTACGTCCAGTGCTGGACAAGGTCAGTCACGCCTTCGTGATCTTCTATCTCCTGTATATCACTGTCATTGTTTTCGCGGTTATCAGAGTAATTTCGGCGATCTTCCTGAAGGCGGGATGCCACAACAAGCGCTTCAGCCTTGGAGCATCTCAAGTTAAGACTGCCAGTGACTGCCAGTGATCAATCTTAGATTCAGGGATCTTGCAATGCGGGAGTTCTTTTCCATCGTGCGGATTACTGTAGAGTCTGCTGACGAGACGAGTTGAGCAGTGATTCAAGGAAAGCGCAGTTCCGATGTCCAACTGGGTGTAGTACATGTGCAACGAAACCCTTCTGCAAGGACACGCTGGATGAAGCCAACAATGACGCCCAGCATCTTGTTCTTGACCGCATGCGCAAGAGGGCGGTGTATGTCGAGCGATTGGAGGCTGTGTTCCATGCCATCATCGAGGATGGCGGGCAGGACAAACATGTCTTGACGGAGAAGCGCTTGGCTGAGATCTTGGCCAACCCCAAGGTCAAGGCTTACTTCTCCACCCTGGAGATAGATGTCCAAGAGAGCGCAGCTCTATTTAATCTTCTTGACAATGGCGATGGCATGGTAACTTTAGAAGAGTTTATCAACGGCATCATGCGCTGCAAAGGGCCTGCAAGGGCCATCGATACTTTCGCTCTGCATTCGGATGTCAAGCAGTTAGATGCAAAGTTGCGAGCGCTCATGCGAATGAGCTACCGTGGTCCAGGCGACTTTCATTTCATTAGTTGCTTTCCACAATATGCGATCTTGAGACCTTTCGTATGCGTTCTAGGGAGTTTCGTGAACAGCCGAACGCTACACACCATGCGCATCCATGCGCGACGACCCAGTTGTTCACGTTATATGAGTAGAATAGCCACAAAACTCGGTACCCCAAAACGTGGCACTATAGTTAGAGGTCTAGGTAGCACCGAGGCGATGTGCCGGAGAGGTCGAACACCAGACCGTCGTTTCGGGAAAGTCCTTGGGAAAATCCGGCGGCGCTTTGGCTAAGTCCCTAGGTGTCCGAGGGAACCGCCGTTTCGGCATTCTTTCAATGTGTGAAGCTGCCACAAGTTTCGCGAGGTCGCTGCGCTGCTCGTCGTCAGTAATCGATGCGCAAACCCATCTAAGGAGCAGTGGGGCATTGAAGGCAAGGATGGAAAGTCCCGGGAGGACTCGCCAACCAGACCGGGAGGCGCCAGGTATGAGAAAATGCCGTGCCTGGACAGCATGGGCCATTCACGGTACATGCGTTTTTTATGACGGAGGCTGTTCATAGCCATGGCTAGTGTTGAGCAATCATTTCGAACATCTGTGATGAAGGGGGGAGGCATGCGCATCATGGCCGTAGCAGCCACCAAGGTAAGGCGCAGCTCTTGGACAGCCGGTGGATCGGAACGTGTGGGCTTGAAGGGAAGATGTTTCCGAACTCGAAGCACTTCTCGAACGTTTCTTTGTACAGTTGCAGACCTGAGGCCAAAAATGTGGTAGCCTTGCTGCTGCCTTCTTAAGTGCCGGAACGATCCTCAAGGAAAGGGTCTGATCACGGCATCGGGGCCTGACAATGACATGAGGCTTGAAGCCTGCAGGCTTTGGGCACAGATCACTTCACAGGCCGAATGACTGTACCACAGGATTTTTCTTGGCTCTTGTGGTACCTCCCAATTGGGAAAGTTCGGCTCGACAGTGTTTTCAATGCCCATTCAAAATGGCGTCTCACGTGACCATAATCTCATGGTGTAGCCGGTTGTCGTTTGTTCAGCTGTGAATTTGGCCACTCGCTCAGGTTCCCTTGATGGGAGGTGTTTACGGAAAAGCAATCGACCAAGACCTATAACACGTACTCCATGCAGCTGTCGTACCGCATTGCTTCATTGTCCGCCAAACGGCAGAGAGTCGAATGGCCTCTTTGTGAACTGCGTTTTCGCGATGGCACGCGTTCAAAAGCCTCTGCCGCTGGAGGCAAATGCAAGGGCCGAGTCGAGTTAAATCCGACTGAGAATAGGCGTCTTGCCTCGCACTTTTGGTGGCTAAGGCGAGAACATCATCCGGCTGCAGGAAAAGACCCGCAAATCCATCATCGCAGCGCCGTGGCAACAGCTCATACTTACACGACACACAAAACAAAAGGTTTCGCTTGCTATTTCTGATTTGCCTTGGTAGCAGAGGCACCCACTGTCGAGAATTACTTCGCTCAAAAAAGCATTTTGCATGCTCAACTGCTTGCCATGAATTGCTACTATTAGCAAGACGAGTTGAGTTGTGTGGCATTGTGCGGTCAAGGGCCTTGAAGGAGTAGTGGAGTTCGTGATCCCTTTGAAAGAAAGCCAAGAAGTTATCAGACGCTGGAGCTTCCACGAATGATCAACTCGTGCTGATTTCTCTCGGCGCCATCCGAAGAATACTCCTGAGCCTTTCTGGGCCAGTCGGATTGAAAGATAACTCCATGAATTTAAGCGCCCCCCGGCCCCGAAATTTGTGTCACATCATTGTCACATCATATCTCTTGGTGAGCGAACTGCTCGTGTACTCAGCTTCAGCTGTTGTTTCTCGAAGTTTCCGTCTTGCACAAAACCAGGCAGCACAGTTGTGGTCGTGTCATGCAGCTAATGTTGCATGGTATCTTCTTTTCAGGCAAATGCAAGCGTACGTGCTGCACCTGGAAGTTGCATTTCATGCTTGCACTAAGCTTCTGAATCTGCGAAGAAGGGTCGTTGTGTAAGCTCTCACAAGTATCAATGTGGACAGATTCCCAGGCGCACACAGCGCCGCCCGGCGTGCACTTGCTACATGCTGCAGTGGTCTCGTCCGAGGCGCGGCACCCTCATTCATGCGCAGGTATGTGTCTTTAGCCTCACCCCTAGAGACCAAACTCAGGACTGACGTATTCATATATGTTTAGATGGCGCACGTGTTGATGGGAAAAAAGGGTGCGAGATGGCCCGGGACGGGTTGATGTGAAGGTTCTTCGGTTTGTGTATATCAGGATATCTACTTTGCTCGCATTGGTTTGGGGGGGAGAGATACAACGTGGACTCTCAAATGCTGCAATGCTGGGAAAATTGCAATGGCAGAGGGTTTGTGGCTATGGATATACCAAACCTGTTGCAAGCGCTGCTCTCGGAAGCTTGACGTGGGGAGAAGTAAGACGAGAGATCCTTGCAAGCCGTCGAATCCCAGCATCCCTGCGAGGTTCCCGAAAGCTTCTGGGACCGATGGCCGGTACCTGCGGAGTGACCAAAATGTAGTGCTTGCTGCCAGGAGGTCTTCTGGTCTTTGCTCCAAGATGCAAGTAGGACACCAGGTCCCTCCAGTCCAAGTTTGGAAACCAAAACCCATCAAAGCCTTTGAGGCCTTCAGGCATGCCAGTGCTGGAACATGTTGGAACCCTCACACCCCATGGTCTCAAGCGCAGGAACTGGAAGCATCAACCTTTCCTTGTTCGCCGAAACTACAGGCAAGATGTAGCTCCAGTAAGAGTGCAGCAGCTGGGCATATTCCGTGCTTGTGCACCTTCCTCACTTGGACATCGTATGCATCCAAAGTGACACACACACACACACCCACACGCGCACGCGCACGCGCGCGCACGCGCGCACGTGCACGCACACGCACACACACACACACACACACACACACACAACCGCGCACGCGCGCACGCGCGCGCACACACACGCGCACACACACACACACACTAGCGTCACAAAGTTGGCAGCGAAGAGGCGGGGGTGTTGGTCTGGGAGCATCTCATCCGGAAGGCACGACCAAGGGTGGGTCCTGGCGGGTGTAGTAGTAGTAGTAGTAGTAGTAGTAGTAGTAGTAGTAGTAGTAGTAGTAGTAGTAGTAGTAGTAGTAGTAGTAGTAGTAATAGTAATAGTAGTAGTAGTGGTAGTAGTAGTAGTAGTAGTCGTCGCAGTAGTAGTAGTAGCAGTAGTAGTAGTCGTCGTAGTAGAAGTCGTCGTAGTAGTAGTAGCAGTAGTAGTAGTCGTCGTAGTAGTCGTCGTAGTAGTCGTTGTAGTAGTCGGCGTAGTAGTCGTCGTAGTAGTAGTAGTAGGAGTAAGAGTAGGAGTAGGAGTAGTAGTAGTAGTAGTAGTAGTAGTAGTAGTAGTAGTAGTAGCAGTAGCAGTAGTAGTAGTAGTAGCAGTAGTTTAGTAGTAGTAGTAGTAGTAGTAGTAGTAGTAGTAGTAGTAGTAGTAGTAGTAGTAGTAGTAGTAGTAGTAGTAGTAGTAGTAGTAGCAGTAGTAGTAGTAACAGGAATCGTAAGAGTAAGAGTAAGAGTAAGAGCAAGAGCAAGAGTAAGAGTAAGTGGTGATGGTGGTAGTGGTAGTGGGTAGTGGTAGTGAGTGGTAGTGGTTGTTGTTGCTACATTCCTACATCGAGCGCACTTCAATGCTGCTACTCATGTGCTCGCACTGCGTTTCCTTCTTTTGTTTGGGGAAAGCCCCGAGAAGTCCACTCGACCACCCAGTTGCACCTGTCTGCAAGCATTCCTGGGGCCCTCCAACCTGAAACCGAGAGTGGGTGGATCGAGACGTGAATTGATGTCCATTGCTAGGAGTAGAGCTTTCCAATGTCTGGACGGCCAAGCGAAATCATCCACACGCAGTCCAGCGTATGACTGACTGACGGAGTAACCGGCTGAAGTACTACAAAGACGACAGTGCCTTCTACTGCTCCTGCTACTGCTGCTGCTGCTGCTGCGGCGGCGGCGGCTGTCTGCTGCTGCCATTCCTTCTCTTCCTCCAACTCTCACGGCCTACTACCGCTATTGCTGCGTCTCCTGCACAGTCAACATAGTGACATAAATATGGGCATCTGCTCCACACCCAAGCAACGCTCTGATCTCTGCACCTGCAGGCCAGAAAGAAGCCGACGCGGCGCTTGTGCAGGAGCTTCCGGGAGTGTTATTTGCCAAGGCAGATGGGGCCTGGGTGACTTTGGATGACCACAACTATTGGCTTCATCGTGCTGCTGCTGTTGCTGTGTCTGGACTTCCTGTTGCTGGGCTTTTGCTTCTCCTGGGTACATCTTACGGACATGGTCACACCAGAGAGGCCCGAAAGAGAGATCCAGGGTGAGATGGGTTGACACGCATGCACACACAGCTTTGCAAGGTTTGGCACGTGTGCACCAGCAAAAGACAGCGACCTGCCTCTCGAAAACATACTGTGGCAAGTGACCTGAACGCCCTTTCAATGCCCCGAAATGGCATGAAGGCTCTGAGGACATGCCCAACATGCACCGGATTCATATGGGATGTTGTGCAACAAATGGCCCTTGAGCTGGCTTTTTCCAGGCACGGGCGCCTTCAAAGACACAGCCTAGAACTCCCATGATGTTTGCAACTTTGTGTGCGGCCCAGAGGAGATCTACACCATCAAGTCGCAGCCATCGGCGCGTAAAGTGCATCTCGTCAACGCAAGGGGGCTTGCGAGTGGTGCGGCTCCATGTCGGACTGGGGAGCTTGCAGCGCGGCGATGTGCAGAGATGCAGGTTGACGATGAGATTCTCCAGCGGCCAACATGTACTTTGCATTTCGATCCAGGGACATAGGGAGTTCTAGGTCTTTTCTCTTCGCGCTCAGCTTTCACAATCAAATTGATTAGGGGATTCTGTAAAGATAGGAGTCTCCTGGTTCATGAACAGGAGTAGTCACGGAGGAAAGGCAGGAACCCAGGCATTTGCTCTGGGAAGGCTTTAAGTCTGAATTCTGGGCTACAGGCAGTTCTAGTTTAGGGTTCAAGCCTTGACAAATTTGCTGGAAGCCGTGGAGCCTTGGCGCATAGTATTACTAAGGCCAGCCTAATGTTGAACTCTTGGGGTGGCTTTACCTATTTCTCCTGCTTTCCAATACGCGTCGCTACAGAGCAAGCCTAAACCCACACCAAGCCCCACACCTTGCGTTGCAGAGGGCAGAGGGCCCACGACGTGATTGCCGAGGCCAGCCTTGTCGACAAAAACGCTGGTTTTCGAGCGCTTTGGCCGACAGAGTGTCCTTGCGGCTTCGGATAGGCAAGGGGTGCACGTCGGAAATACTGTGATGTTGCCCAGGGAAACAGCAGGGAATATGCAGAAGCCGAACTGGGATGTTGCTGCTTAACTTCCAAACGTGTTGCAGGACTGCTCGTTGTCGGACACGGAGCAAAAATCGGCACAAGATGGAGCAGCACAGTCGTTACGGTCGTTCATGTTCAGGCTCCTGCATGTCCTGCTCGGTGAAAGCTAGGCTGCTAGGAGTATGAGTAGTACAATCAAAATCCGGTTCGTTCGCCACTCTGTTGGCCCTCTCATTGCACCCACTGCCTAGAAGCCATTCTTTTCCCGTTTGTGGGCTTTCTTCGTCCTTGAATATTTGTTTCGTTTGAG